ACAGCTGCCCGGGCGGGGAGGGGCGGGGCCCGCCTCAGGCTCCGCCCCCGAGACCCACCGCCCCGCCCCGCCGGCTGCGCGCAATCGCCCCGCCCCGGGTCTCCTCCGCCCGCCTCGCGCCGCGCCTCAGGGCCGCGATCTGCCGTCTCAGAGGGCGCTGGGCGGCTTTTGTCATTGAACCGTAGGAACCGTCTACTCCGACCATTAACCTAACGACAGTGGCGAAAGCACCACTAGGCCATGTCCCTCAGCACCGCGTCTACCCACCTTTTAAACGCCCCCAGGGATGGCGGCTCCACCACTTCCCTGGGCAGCCCGTGCCAGTGTTAGGCAACGCTTTCTGTGGAGAAATAATTCCTAATGGCCATCAGAAACCTTCCCTGGCACGACTTTCTGATTCCTTGTGTCACTTGGGAGAAGAAACCAATGCCCCCTTGCTCCAACATCCTTTCAGGGAGTTGTAGAAAGCCAGGTCTCCCCTCAGCCTCCTTTTCTCCAGGCTGAACACCCCCAGCTCCCTCAGCCTCTCCTCACCAGACTTGTGCTCCAGACCCCTCACCAGCTCCATTGCCCTTCTCTGGACCCGCTCCAGCACCTCAACATCTTTCTGGTCATGAGGGGCCCAAAACTGGACACAGTGTTTGAGGTAGGGCCTCACCAGTGCCCAGTACAGAGGAACCGTCACTGCCCTGTTCCTGCTGGCCACGCTGTTCCTGACACAGGCCAGGGTGCTGGTGGCCTCCTTGGCTACCTGGGCACACTGCTGGCTCGTATTCAGCCGGCTGTGACCAACACCCCCAGGTCCTTTTCCTTGGGGCAGCTCCAGCCACTCTGCCCCAGGCCTGTGGCAGTGCAGGGGGCTGGTGTCACTCGGTTTATTATTCTGCAAAACACCTTGATTGGCAGAACGGGATAGTTGGCTGGCAAAAAAAAAAAAACTACCAGAGAAAAACACAGGAGGCCAGGCGACACCAAGAAATGTATCCAATAGTAAACTCCACACTGGGGCACACCGGCCCACCATCAGATCTGGTTTTAAGAAAAAATCCGCACGCAAAAAAAAGCCTCCTCACCTACTTCCAGCCTCAAGTCCCA